GAGTTGTAAGTTATAGGCGAAAGCTATTCGAATATTCAAATTTGTTTTTATTAAACTGAAAGTTATTTTCGAGATAACTAGCAACACGGCACACAGTGGGCCGCCTCATACAAGTTAGCCGGAAACAAATATTGTATTGCTTCAGATGCTTAGAATTGTTGTAAAAAGCGGCCATACAAAAATTTAGCTTGATCAAGAATCGGACACCACAGGTCCTTTGAGGAGGGTTTGTAGCCAAAACGATATATTGAAGGTATCTATATATAAATACGCCACAGTACAATTTTGAACCCGCTTTTTTGAGGGAACCGTTCTTTCCAAACTTCCTCTAATCCAGAAATGTTAACCCCATTATACAGGGGGCGTGGCATCTGACATAGACTAAAATCTGAAAAATGATGTATCTCTAAAACCAATCACGCTGGGGAACTGAAACTTGGCACGTATGCATAAATTGTAAATACCCTACCTACGGCGAAAACCATAGGTATTGGAAAAGGGGACGTGGCACTTCCAATACAAACTGAAATTCTCATATCGATTATCTATGAACCGCTTTGACACAGCTACATACGGTATCAATTCCGTCCTTATGGCGAAAAGTCGTAGGTTTTGGAAAAGGGGGCGTGGCATCTCCCATACAAACCGAATTCGAAATATCGCTTATCTATGGAACCGCTTTTTCAAACGTACTTATGGCGAAAAGAGGTTTGTATTGGAAAGGGGGATGTGGCACCTTCCATACAAAATACAATATCTATATCGCTTATCACTGGAACTACTTATGATAAGGTTATGGATAAACCTACATCTACAAATCAGAAAATGGTAAGAATCATTTAATTGGGAAGAATTTTCTACCAGATTTCAAAATCGCATTGAATGTCTGTTATTTTGTGGAAAGGTTTTTAGAAGGATTTTTCTTCCGATAGGGGGCTCAGGGATTGAGAGCTATCCTAAAGAATCTTATTTATGGTCACATTTGCTTCATCTTTTGAATACTTGGTACCCAAACGTGTGATGCAAAAATATTGATTTTTGGCCCAGTCCTGACGAAACCCGTGTGAACAACTTCGAGGTACTTTCTTAAGTCCTACCGATTCTGATGAAGAGAAAGAGGAGTTTATGTAGATGCTGGAAATATAGTTTCTAACCTTCCCAAGGGATCTGAGACCAATATAATCGAAACAAGTATTTAAAGTTTAAATAAATTTTAAAGCTTTACACTGCAAAGAAAACACTATTTCAAGTTTGAATGTAAATTTTTTTAATATATTCAATTATTTTTTAATGAATATATAACTTATAACTGCATATTTATTTTTGATATATATTTTTTGGGTTATGTCTGCGAAATGTCACCGTCGGAGTGTGAACTTTCATCTGCTTCATCAGTCGCAACTCTTGGGTAACTATGACCACTTTTTCGTACAGACACTTCTTGATATAATATGGAATTTGAAATTGTTGCAAGGTCGTGCAAAGTCTGGTTTACGCAGTATCTAAAAGGGGGAATCATGGAGTCTCAAAAAACTTTAAGAAAAGTACATGATAGTACAGTGATTAGATCAGAGGTGGGCAATTTTTGCTCGCGAGCAACGCCAGCATCACAGTTCGTATACGTACACAGAAGCAAAGCAGCGAATTTCGATCAGTCTGCTTGCAGATTTCACCAATGTAACATAATGCTCGGCTGTGGATTGTTTTTCCTCGTAATTATAGCACGCGCTTGCCACATTTTGTGTAAGAAATTTACAAAGAATCCCCAAAGTAAAAAGTGATGTGTTTTTCTTAGATTGGCGTTTGCATGCATTTGCGACGATTCAAACACAAAATAGTGCGACCCTATACAAGAACTGGAGCTTATTGTTCAAAGAACTTTCAACAAGCCGCAATATCCGTTATGCGGTTATGCCTACGTATTTTTAATATAAGCAAACTGTATTTTTTATGCCGTGTCAATTTAAAAAAATATAAAATACCCTGCTTGCTGACCAACGTTCAATAATTTTGTAATAAATAAGTCCCATGATTTTTACAAAAAAGTGTACAAATTGCATGTCATATTTTAGAATAATTTGTTTCGATATAGAAGTTTAAATGCTGGTTTATACCCAAAAATATTTAATGAATAATATTTATAAGTTAAACTCTATTTTTAGGGGTAAATTCCTATTTATATGAAGATAATAAAATCTAAACACCGAAATAATCTGGCCGGCCAGCATTTCAAAGATAAGATTCCAATAAAATTGTGTGCAGGTATTAAACAAATGGGTTAAATCTATTTAAATTTTTTTACAATTTTAGAAGTATTAAATTTTCGTATGAAAAAGTTTCTATAAACTAATAGTATTCTATAATTCTTGGGTTTTAGTACATTTATAAAAACGTGGCAACCATAACTGAGCGCGGCGCACTATTGCCACGACAAAATGAGACTGTGTTGGTGTGCACAGCATTGGTTTAGATTGTCCAAAAAGTTCGACTTTGTTCAAATTTTTTTTACGTAAAACGCCTAATTTTGACACATTACTCTAGCTACGTCCCTCATCACATATTAATTGTTTTTATTTCGTAAAAGAAAACATCGTTTTCTATGCCAAATACATTCTTTTCAGCGTTCTGGCACACCACTGTGATAAAGAACACACCACTTTTTAAAAATGTCTATTTGATTGGTGTAATTTTTAGAAAACAAAGTTTCAAAACATCAAATTTGACCTACAAAAAAAACTACTAAAGTGGGCTATAAAACACCAAAGAATAATTTTTTCTACGTAATTGGACATTTCTTAGCAAGTTGGAGTCATCAAAACATCAAAATTCCACTTTGTCGCCAATTGGCCCATTGTGCGTCAGCCTTCTTTTTAAATAATTTAAGCTCCATCATATTATCGCAACTGGTACGTAACGACCCGGCGCTATGCCCATAAAACGATTGAACGGGGCACCGAAATTGCGCATATGGAAACTGCATTTACACATTATTTCGGTTTCAACCGAAACTGTGCATATATGCTTTATTTCGGTTTTTGCCATATGCATTATTTCGGCTTTCAACCGTAACGGGGCACCGAAATTGCGCAAGTGGAAACCGTGCATTTACACATTATTTCGGTTTCAACCGAAACTGTGCACGTATGCTTTATTTCGGTTTTCGCCATATGCATTATTTCGGTTTCACCGAAACTGTGCATGCATGCATTATTTCGGTTTTTGTTATCATCACAGAAAGGAGAATTCTACTTAGTAAGGGTTGTAATTCCTAAACGCGGCCGAAAGCCGCCTACGCAGAAAGAAGTTCTGCGCAAAAATACTTCCGGTCCCCTTTTCCGGCAACACAGAAAGGAGAATTCTACTTAGTAAGGGTTATAAATCCTAAGCGCGGCCGAAGGGCGCCTACGCAGAAAGAACTTCTGCGCAAAAATACTTCCGGTCACCTTTTCCGGCAACACAGAAAGGAGAATTCTACTTAGTAAGCACGGCCGAAGGCCGCCTACGCAGTGAGTTCTGTGAAAAAATACTTCCGTCCCCTCTTTTTCGGCAACACACAAAGGAGAATTCTAGTAATGGTTATAATCCCTAACCGCGGCCAAATGCCGCCTACGCAGAAAGAAGTTCTGTGCAAAAATACTTCCGCCCTTCTTTTCCGACAACACGGAAAGGAGAGTTCTACTTAGTAAGGGTTATAATTCCTAAGCGCTGCCGAAGGGCGCCTACGCAGTAAGAAGTTCTGCGCAAAAATACTTCCGGTCACCTTTTCCGGCAACACAGAAAGGAGAATTCTACTTAGTAAGCACGGCCGAAGGCCGCCTACGCAGTGAGTTCTGTGCAAAAATACTTCCGTCCCCTCTTTCTCGGCAACATACAAAGGAGAATTCTAGTAATGGTTATAATCCCTAACCGCGGCCAAATGCCGCCTACGCAGAAATAAGTTCTGTGCAAAAATACTTCCGCCCTTCTATTCCGGCAACACGGAAAGGAGAGTTCTACTTAGTAAGGGTTATAATCTCTAAGCGCGGCCGAAGGCCGCCTGCGCAGAAAGAAGCTCGTTTCCATGTATGCATTATTTCGGTTTTGAGTCGAAACTGTGCAGTAGTGCGATTCGGTAACCTTTTTAACGACATTCGCAGTGGCTAATTTAGGTAAACGATAATTTTAAAGATTTTGCTATTCAATAAGTACTTTCTTATCGATATTCGATAAGTGAAAATCAGCTGTTTCGTTAACGATTCGTTTATGGTTAAGTTATCGACATCTCATTTGGTGTTGTTAAGTTTGTGTTAACCAAACGAATTTGCGCGCAAGTAAATCCAAGTGAATTTATATAAAAGAAATGGCGTTTGAATATGTGGCGTATAGTTTACACCGAAACTATGGAGTCAGAAATACACCCACAGTGGATCGGCGTTTGCTCCGGGACATTCACGATCCATTTGAGCTGGCGCCTTTCGAGTTCCGGAAGCTATATCGTGTGGGCCCAGAGACCGCAATGGAGCTCATCCAATTGAAAGGTAAAAGGATTACCTCAATATCGGGGGAAAAACTGGTAGATCTTTAAATAATGAGAGCATGCAATTTTGGATATGTAGTATGTATACAATAATTTCCTGGGTACGGTTTAGTTATCTGTACAATGATGCCCAAACGCGTGACTCGAATCTAAAAAGTTTAACATACGCGTGTATTCCAAGGATTAAACTTTAATTTAAAACAAAGATTTCAAATTTCCAAGCACTAGTTTATTAATAAAATCGGTTTTAATTATGGACTTTTTTGTAAGTTTCGATGTGGCTTCCATGTTGAAATGCTAATGGGGTGAACCCATTTTCAAATGGGCCCCCTGTAGTCTGTAGAGGGGTCAGAGAGGGGAGTTTTGGCTGTGCTCTTTTTAACGGGTATGGTTTTAGGTGTCACACCCTCTCCCCCTCCGCTCCGCACCACAAAATCATTGTACAAATAACTAAACATTTCCCAAAAATCGTTTATCTTTGAAGGTTTTGTGTACACTACGCTTCTATGCCACAGGATGCTACCAACGGCCTGTAGGGGAACAGTGGGGCATATCAATGAGCCAATCATCTATAAGCCGTTGTATACATCGCGTAACTGATGCCATAAACAGTGGACTATTTTTTGAGGAGGTTAAGTTCCCTATGACGCAGGTGGATCGTCAAGCTGCCAAGGAAGTGTTTGCTTCAGCACCTGCGCCTTTCGTTGGAGGAACTATTGGAGCGGTAGACTGCTCGCATGTTTCTATTTTGGGTCCTAAAACTCATGAGGAAGCATACGTGAACCATCATGGCTATCACTCGATAAATGTTCAAATGGTGAGCTAAGTATTTTGGTATTTTTTTTTTTTAAATTGATTCTTTTTTCATTCGTTATATGGAAGAAAATGCTGAACACCCTTGAAAAAAAATCTCAAATATTAACGGTATTTTGTAGCGACATCAAACTTGAATTTTACCCTACTGAAATTGAATGGGCTACAAAACTACATACTCGAAAATTTTCTAAAGATTCTGAATAAAGAGTTTGAAATTTTGATGAACGTTTTTTTAAGTTTGATAAATTTCTGTGAACATTGTACAAAGTTAACAAGATTGATTCCTAAGGTTTTTTTTATAGAATGAGGTATATTTTGAATACAAATTTGCAAAAATAGTTCAATATTCAAAATATTTTGAATATTATGAAAAACTATAATACGAATACTTCTGTGAGTGACTGTATACACTATAACCGTATAAAGCAAAAATTAAAATATATTTGAAAACATTATAAATTTTATATAACTTCCTAGTCTAAAAAGCACTTCGAAGCTATTTTATTTTTTATCAAAGAACAGTAGGTGGTCTATCAATAACGACCGAAGACAAAATAGTGTATGTATTTTCGGTATATCTATATATATAAAAATGGTGTGAAAAATGTATAGTAATTCATCAA